CTTATATGCGATATTGAGGAGGCTTATCCCACGGTAGTTGGCGCAGATTGTGGGGTCTCCTTTTTTGAGGATTGGGCATAGCACACTTAAATTCCAATGATGTTGTTGTTTTAACGATTATCAGTCCCCTTTGGGATGGTGATAGTTATCTGTATTGTCGTCGATGTCATCTAACGGGAGGCCCAGTTCGACGTTGTCGGACCAGAGGGAAAAGGGTGGTAGATGTTGTTGTTGTTGTAACGGCAGAGTTCTGCCGAGTTGACAGTCCTTGGCCGGATAAAAATCCGGGTCCGTTCCGGTTTCCGTAGATCCGACTGTCGTGGGAACGGAAAAGGGTGGTAGATGGGTGGGGTTGGTTGGGCATGCAAAGAGGTGGTCAGAGTCATGCGGAGACTCGTTGCATGCAGGACATACGTTGTGTATGTCAGGGTCTATTCTGGATAGGTAGTAGTTTAACCTGCTACAATATCCAGAACGAAGTTGCGCAAGGGTCACTCGCGTTTCTCGCGGCAACTCGAGCTCTTCGTCTGCTATAGGTGGTGATTTGACTCCAAGTACGCCATTCAYSKGGAGGGAGTCGGTGAAGGTGTTGATGGCTCCATTGTGAATGGCGGTCAGTGCCTGTCGGAAGTCTGTAGCGTCCGAGATCCTGTCGGCGTATTGTTCGATGTCGTCGACGTGATCAAGGAATGACCTCCTGATGTTCCTAGGAGGCGGTTCCGCTCCAAGCAGATGACTGCAAGGATGATTTCTGCGAAAACATCCCAGCAGGAACTGCTTGGAGAGGAGTTCATTATGCTCCTTGACTGGGAGCATAAGCGTCTCGCTATGTACGTGCTCGATGGGAGACATCAGTAGGCATCCCGTCGTGGACCGGAGTGCTTTATTCTGGCAGGTCTGTAGTTTCCTCATCTGCGTGCTACTGCATCCAGGCGACCATATGGGTGCTGCATAGTTGAGGACCGACCGGCCGATTGCCTTGTAAATTGCCAACAACGTTTCTTTGTCTTTTCAGCATAGACTGTCGAAGGTGACACCTAAAATTTTAGGGTTATTGACAGTCGGAATTTTGACGCCGTCGACTGCAATATTAAGTTCCAGTCTATACTCCTTCGTCCAGKTYGTGAATATGGTCGCTGTGGATTTGGTAGGGGAAAGTTGGAGGTTCCGTGSAGTGAGGAAACGAGAAAGGTCGGAGAGGTAGTTGTTTACCTTCGAGCACATGCCATCGATTCCATTGCCCGACGTCAATATCGTACAGTCATCAGCGTACGAGGTTATGGAAACCCCCTCTGGTGGTTGCGGGAGTTTAGAGATGTAGAAGTTAAACAGTAACGGGGAGAGGACACCACCCTGCGGAACCCCCTGTTTAATTCTTCTCAGTTTAGATGTTGCGCCTCGAMATAGTACGGATGATTGGCGACCGTTCAGATAGTTCATGGTCCACCTCTTGAGCCCTGGAGGAAGCGTGGTTTTCTCAATTTTCCAACGCTACGAAGATCGTTCTCTCACAGGGTGGTTTCTGGTTGAGGCCACGAACTATCTGAGCGTTTATGACGCTAAGTGCTGTGGTGGTACTGTGCATTTTACGGAATCCATGCTGGTGGCTGGCTAGGCTCAGGTGGTGAGTGAAGGTCGGGAGTAACTAAGTCAGATTGGGAGCTATGTTGCCTAGTTGAGCTCCGGGGGACCGTGGAGGTCCTCTGTTGGCCACTCGAGGTGGGTGGCGGCGCAGCGCGCGAACTATGTGCTGATTGCACAGCCGTAGAGGCTAGCGTCGCAATATTGCGTAGGCAAAATGGGGCCACGTAACGCGTGGTCCACTCCCTATGGGTCTTAAGGCCTGAGCAGGTCTTAAGATGGC